ATAAAAGATCCATCTTAAAAGTTCAGTTAAGGCTCAAAAAGAAAAAAATATAAATAAAAAAAACTCCCCTCTGCTCAAAATTATTGAATAGTTAAATAAATATTTTATGTGACATTATTTACCTGGTACTCTAAACCAACAAAAATAGAAACACACAATAAGTCATTATTTATTTTCCAACTAAATTAACAAAGTGTGCCAACATGATTTTGCTCGTAATGTATTTATTTTTAATGCCATTCATTAAGTGAGAGTAATCAAATTCAAACAGTAGATCTACAGATCCCAAATTAAGGATAAAATTTATCAAAATTTTAAATTTGTAGGGGTAATAATAATATCACTTAGAGAGGCAAAGTTACGTTAATGGATCAATAATATGGAAAGATTGGAGAATGAGTAGCTAGGTGAGTGTGGAATAAGTGGTTCAGAAGGAGGAAAATGGCAGTGCAATAAAAAATGGGTAGAATATCCCCCTAAACCCCAAAATATTCTGCCTTAAACATTGGGCATTGAGCCCTATTTATAGACTTTTTTTGATACCAGAATATACCAAGTGGCCAAACAATGCGGCAACACGTGTCGCAGGATATTCTGTCATGAACCACTAGGCCTTGGTAGACACGTGTCCCTTGACATGTGCTATTTGCTTGGCACAAAGCCTCAACAAGTGCCACTGTACTACCTATTTGACACAGAGTCTCAGCATATACCTTTTTGGTATGAATTGCAGCAGGTGTCTTAGTTGCCGCGACACCTACCTTTTCAGTTCAGTTTCCCAAAACATATACTCTTTAGGACTTATAACTTGTTATTAGCCATACTGGTGTCTACCTCAACGACTTATCCACTCTTAGCTACCTATCCACAAACTCCCCAACTTTTCAAGACACGGGCCACAGCAAGGTTGTGCCTCATATCAAGCCCAAAGGGGCTTCTTTGGTTCTGCCTGTGCAACCAAGGTAGGTCCTTGACCTAGGTATATATGGAAAGAAAGTCCCTCGCTTTCGGGTTATCCTGCTTCTATCTTTACGGGATCGCTGTGGTATACTGGCATCCTTGATGCTTGCTCTCAGCTCCAACCAGTAAGTGTTGGGGTTTGCCATCAGTGCCATGCTATGCAAGCCTCGAGCCTGCTATTAGTCTCTGGCTATTAATCCCTTGGTGCTTGCTATCGGCATCATGCATCTACGTATCATTTTGTGTGAAGGAGGTCTTCCTCAGAGGCTGCTATCACCTTAGGGGGCTGCACCTTAAGAGGTAGTTGCGGAGGCTAGAGTTATCTCGGTGTCCTTCCTTTTAGTAAGTGTTAAAGGCGACGTTGTAACCAAATGGTGGCACTGAGATGGGGTTTGCCTTAGCAACTAGGCCTCGGTAAGTAGTGCTTCAACGAGTTCTCTCACACTTTGCTCTTGGCCCATTTGACTCAATTGGGTTAGATCTGATTCGATCTTTTGGTTGACCTATTTCTCTTAGATTTTCACCCATACTCATTTAATGATATTTAGGCCTCGTTTGGGAACATGCTAATTTAGTAATTTTTTGACTATTTGGCTAAAATATGAGCTAAAAAAAAATAGTATGTTTGGGATGACTTTTTGACTTTTTACGAAAAGATGTGCAAAAAGTAGAGAGAAAAGAGAATCTTTGACTTTTTGATGTGGATTGTTGGCTTGTTGACTTTTTTAATAACTTTTTGACTTTTTAGCTAAATGGACTGGTTCCCAAACGAGGCTTTATTCGCCTAACTGAGGCCACTTCAATGATTAAGTTAGTATCTTAATCTTTTTCTCTCTAGAAAATCAAATGTCAAAATTCATTCATAGAGTAAACCTAAGGCACGAAAATTAAAATCTACATAGAATTCAAGATAAAATTCTGAATACTAATTTTGGTTCCATAACATTAAAAAACTCAAGAAGAGATGACACTAGGCACCATCCACAATGGGAATAGTATGAATGGACTACATGAAGCATGGTTAGTTGTCAACTTCGCGCGGCATTGCACTCGCTCACAAATTTTAGGGAGTAAAGATTTTTTAGAGTGATAATTATTATTATTTTTTAAAATTGATCCTCTGTTTGTTCTACATTTAAAAAATAAAAAATGTTTTTCGCCTAATTAGACTTCTTTTGCATTGATTATAAAAAATATTTTCTGTTGATTTTTATTTTTCGTTATACCAAATGATAAAAAATGTGAAAATTATTTCTCTAAAAAATATTTTCTACCCAACTCACAGCAAGTTTTATTGTGAGCGTTACTGAGATTCGTTATGCGCCTATTAAGATAATCTCAATAATTTAATATATAGAACACATTAAATAAATTATATATGTAGACAAATTATATTGATTAGATATCAATAATTATATAATTTAAATTAAATTTATCTTAAAAAATTAGATGACACATATAATTTTAAAATAAATATTTTATTTTAAAAAAATAGATATGATATAATTATTAATTTTATTTTTTCATTCATAATTTAATTAATAATTTTATAAAATAAATGATTCAAATTATCACGATTAGTTGAAAGTGGGCAACACCAAGGTTTACAACTGACCACTAGGCGTCCCAAATTGGAACGAATCAAATTTGAGATGTTTGCATTGCACATCATATGCAATCATTTATAAAATTACATAAGTTTTTATAAATTTACATAAATAGTCTCAGAAAAATATATAAATTCAATACAAATTTATGTAATAACATAAGTTTTCATAAACTTACGCAATTTTATATTCAACTTACATATTTTTGTTTAATTACTTATATAAATTTATAAAAATTTATTTAATTTTATATAAAATTATATATAAATGTATTACACAAAGAAATATTTCCTCATTTTGAATTGTAGGGTGCTTGGAACCATGGTAAAAGTCATAATTTTTTTTAACTTTTATTAAAATTATATCAAAAAAATTAATTTTTAGTCGGTCTTGCGGACACAAATTTAAAAATTCCAAAAAATAAACTATTAAGAAATTCAATTGCTTTGAATTTTTTTTTTTTTTTGGGATTATTTTTTATAATTTATAAAATTATAAATATTTTCTTGTCAATTTTTTTATTTAACAAAACTAATTAAAAAAATAAATTTTTTTACTGCTCTCCTATAAATGGTAAAATTACTTGAATTATTAATTAAAATAATTTATGACATCATTAAAAATTATTAATTGAAGTAATAATTTATTAATAAAAAAAACCATTTGTTATGAAATTAAAAATTTCAAGAGATAAGATATAATTTCTAGAATCATAATTAAATACATAAATTGAAAGAAAGAAAATAAGAAATAAAAGAGAATGAGGACTTTGTTTAGAGATGAAAGTTACGCTCTGGCTCTCTCAATTGAGGCTCCAGACTCTCTATTTATAGACCAAGAGAAGAACAAAACCAAACAAAAATACAAATCTTTCAATTTACGTTTTTCTACAAATAGGTGACTGTTCCACTGAATTTTTGTTCCCCTAGATAAATCTTGTTTTCCTCACAGCATAAGAGTTGCAAGTCTCTGGGTTGGGTGTGACACCCTAAATATTTAATTAAAATTATGTTACTATCAAAAAATAAAATAATAATAATAATAATAAATATATGAAATAATATATCTAATTGCATAGCTATATGTGCTAAAGATATAATTTGGCATTGGGTTATAAAAGTGTGATTAATATATTGTTTGGGGCCAAATCAAAACAACTATGAAATTATGATACTAGTTGGGGCCAAGTAAGAATATAAGGTAAGGTATACGAGTTGGCTGGAAGCTTGTGGAACAGGCCGCCTTCAAAATCAAAACAACTATGAAATTATGTTTTTAGTTGGGGCCAAGTAGGAATATAAGGAAAGGTATGCAAGTTGGCTGGAAGCTTATGGAATAGGCCACTTGTGAAACCTCATTCTGCTATATGCTTATAGTTATTACTCTTTTCAAGTGATAAAATATAAGGAAGGATTATGATCTCGTGTATTGGAGGATTATGATCTCGTGTAGTGGACCAGCACAGAACTTGTTGCTGACATTTTTATTTATTTTTATTTTTTTCTTTTCTTACTTTTTCTTCGTTTTATTGTCTGTCATCGAATAATAAAATAATAAAAGCTGATGGATTAGTCCCCTTTTTATTTAAATAGTAGGGTAGTTAATGGAGTTAATTATCATTTTAATTGTTTTCTTACTTTATTTTACTTCCGCTGAGGCTACTTAATTTGTTTAGTTAGAATTAATAAGTTGCGATTCCAGCTTTAAGCATTCAGGGGTTGAGTCGTGACAGTGAGTCTTCTTTCTAGGGACATAAAGTGCACCTAAATTCACTACAACAAAATACATCTTTGGTGACTAAAATTGGCGACTAAAACAAATTTAGTCGCCAAAAGTTTTGGAATTGGCGACTAAATATTTTTTTTGGTCGCCAAAAGTATAAAATTTAGCTACTAAATTTTTTTAGTCAGGATTTATTGATTATTAGCGACTAAAAAATAATTTAGTCGCTAAAAATACTAGAATTGGCCACAAAAAAAAATTTTAGTCGCCGTATATTGAGTTTTGACTACTAAAATATTTAGTCGCCGAATGTAAAATTAAAAATTTATTTTTTATCTTTTGACGACCAAAAGTTTGGTCGCCAAAACATATTTTCAGTGACCAAAAATTAGTTTAGTCGCCAAATATTAGGTATTGGCTACTAAAATATTTAGTCGCCAAATGTAAAATTAAAAAAAAAAAAAAACTATCTTTGGCGACCAAAAATTTAGTCGCCAAAACATATTTTCAGCGACCAAAATTTACTTTAGTCGCCAAAAAATAAAAAATTGGAGGGAGACATTTCTAATTTAAATTTGAGGGATTTATAAAAGTAATTGGCGACTAAAGTTTTTAGTCACTAATGGTGTAACATATCAGTAATTGGCGACCATTAGGTATTTTAGTCGTTAATTGTATAAAATGGTATATATATATATATATTTTGTACCAAACCAAACCCTAATATAATCTGCGCCTCTCTCTCTCTCTCTCTATTTTCGGCGTCTCTCTCCCTCCCCGTCTCCGCTACTCCTCTCCCGTCCCTCTCTCACTGCCGCTCTTCTTCGCCTTCGACGGAAACCGGAGCACCTCCTCCTCCTCCGCCATCGCCATCGTCATCGTGAGTACCGCCGATCTTTTCACGCCGCCGCCTCCTCCTCCTCTGCCGATCTTCACAGATTCGTTTTTTCGTTTCTTTGAGATTTCACATCAGTGGGTTTCTATGGTTTTGGAAGATTGAAGGTTTGGAGCTAATAACAAAGTCTAAAAATCAATGGGTCTATTGCTGCTTCTTCTTCTTTTATCAGTCTTTACTGTTTCTTCTGGTGAATGTGAGCTCTTTTCTCTTTCTCCTATTTGCTTCTATTATTTCTTTATTCTTCAGGGTTTAATCCTATTCCATCTGGGTATCTCTCTCTGTACTCTCTTCTCATTGATAGATAGGCACACACACACACAAATGTTTGGTTCTCTGTTGATTATCTCTGTTTTTTTCCCTTTCCGTTGTATTTTTTTTTTTAATAAAAAAAATTGGGTTTTTTTGTATCTTTGTTAAAGCCCTGTGCTTGAAGATTTGAATGTTTTTTTTTATATGCTTTGCCATTCTTACTACTTTGGACCTTTATTGAGTGCTTCTGGGACTGTAGAGTAAAGTTTAGAAGAAAGCAAGCTGGGCCATTTTCAAAGTGCATAAACAAAATTTGTATACTGTTTGAAGTCATTGTCCTTGCCATAAACCCTGTTTACACTGATAGTGGGGGGAGAGAAAGAGTCTTATTTAATTTTGGGTGAATTACAGTTTGACCCTCTGACTTCCCTTGAATTCACATGGTTTCAATTACAAAATTTCTTGGGCTTCAACCCGAGTATCAATGTAGCCCTTCTGTCACACCGCCACTGATTAAAATTTGATTATGGGAAGTTCAGATTTGTTTATTAAGGCTAGCCCAACAACCTTGTGTTAACATCTTATCTTGCATGATTGGAAAGCAGGCAATAGAGTGAGTGAAATGGTGCTAATTATTTGAATAATGGGTTATTAAGTTTTTGGATTAATGGAGGTGGGTTTGTGAAAAAAAAGAGGGAGGGTGAGAAATGAGGGCAATTGGTGGGGAAGAGTTGACTAAGTGGGAGGAGATGCAAGGAGTGGCGAGTGGTGGTAGTGAGCAGAAGTTTCTTGTATTGGTTAGATTGAGGCCTCTGAGTGAGAAGGAGATTGCGAGGAATGAAGTCTCAGATTGGGAATGCATCAACGAGACTACCATTTTGTTCCGGAACAGCCTTCAAGAGCAGTCCATGTTTCCAACTGCTCATACATTTGGTAAGGAAATGGCCATCTACCTATTTAATTTGTTCTCATTCTGGATTCAAATATTTCTTTGCATTCATGGTGTTTAAGTTTGATCTAGAGCATATCGGGTAGTCAAGTATAAAAAAAAAATTCACTCTACCTGTTAGAAAATATTTAGTGACTTGGGTTAGGACATTTAGGTACTATATGATGGCATGTGTATTCATAATTTAGTTACAACTTTTGGAAATAGATGTTTCTGTTACAATTTGAGAATTGCACAGGATTTCTATTTGAAGATGTACATTTTTTTTCTTCTTATTTTGATTTAACCTTCTTAAATTGTTGTTTTATGTTGGATAGATGGCGTATTTAGTGGTGACCCCTTTGACTAGGCAGGTCTATGAGCAAGGAGATTCCTATAATCACCATCAATGCCTCATAATGCACTCATGAGGTGATCTCATGGAGTAATTAATGTTTCCTAGTTTGAGAAGAATTTTCATGATACTCTTTGGGTTTTGTAATGTAACTAGTTGCTCTAAAAGCTTAACCTATTAGGAAATAAGCCCAACACATTTTTAAGCTCTCACACCCTCCCTTTATTTGTGACCCCTTATCCAACATGAAGTTACAAATTAACACAAGCTAAACTGACACATTGACAAACATATTATAAGGTACAAACAAATATGTGTACATAAATGCTCTCCAGTTTTTATGGTTGCATAGAGACTAGCAAAAGCTGAGGTTTACTTGTTTTTAGGCACACAAATGCTCTCCAGTTTTTATGTGTGTACATATATTCTGAAGAAAAATGTCATGCATATTCCTTAGCTTAAATTTGGTCATTCTTAGTGCGGAACATTTGAGGAAAATCATAACTATAGGTTCATTTGAGCTGTAGAAGACCAAGTTCTTATTTCAGTTAGTCACTTTCACTTCAAAGTGGGTATTAATTTTTGAAATATTATTTTAGTGAATGCCATATTATAAAGTGGGTGAAAACTGTAATTTATGTGAATCTCACTATTTTGTGAATTTTTTTAACAGCCTAAGACTGAAGAGGTTAAGAAGGAACTCACAGCTACTAGTGCAGATTCTCAGGGCCACAAATTGTTGTGCAGGAAGCTCCAGAATTGCAGAGTTGCTCTGTTTGGTATATGCTTGTTAGGAAATTGGTTTTGGCATGGAGTTTGGATTGTTGTTGATGTTATGTATGCAGCTACTAATGCTGATTCTCAGGCCTTCGGCGGTTGTTGATGTTTGGATTGATGTTAGGATTGTTGTTGTGCTAATCCTCAGGCCTTCAGCTGCAATTTCGCCTTGCTGCTGTTTGTTTCGTTCTTTTGTCTTTTGTTCAGTTTTTCAATTTTGGAGTTCGGGTGTTTGATTGGCTCCTCGCCAAACTTGAGTTTATTGCAGGAAGGTTTGTTCCCCCCCTGGGATTTGTTCTCAGGCCTTCAGCGGGTGTTGATGTTTGGATTGATGCTAGGATTGTTGTTGTGCTAATTCTCAGGCCTTCAGCTGCAATTTCGCCTTGCTGCTGTTTGTTTCGTTCTTTTGTCTTTTGTTCAGTTTTTCAATTTTGGAGTTCGGGTGTTTGATTGGCTCCTCGCCAAACTTGAGTTTATTGCAGGAAGGTTTGTTCCCCCCCTGGGATTTGTTCTCAGTGAAGTTAAATACTTTTAGTGACTAAATAGTTAGTAGCTAAAAAAGAATTAAATGGAAACAAACCTTTTGGTGACTAAACATTTGGTAGCAATTTAAAAAAAGACTTTAGGCGACTAATGATTTAGTAGTGAAAAAAAAAAAGTTTTGGCGACAAATATTTTAGTAGCTGAAAATGTGATGTTAAATTTAATTGTAAGCGTTTGGTGACTACAAAATTAGTCGCCAATTTACCCTTTCAGCGACTAAATTTTTTTTGTCGCCAATACTTTTTACTTTTGGCAACTACTTGTTTAGTAGCCAATTTAGGACTTTTGGCAATTAAATTTTTTTTGGTCGCCAATACCTTCACCAACCGTCTTTCGACGACCAAGTTGGCGACCAAACTATTTAGTCGGGAAAACCTTTTGGCGACTAAAAATATGACTTTTAGCGATTAAAAATTTAGTCGCCAAAAGTGTAATTTCTTTTAGTGATTAAATTTTTGAGTTGAAAGTAATGGCCAAATTAATAAGCTGGACAGTTTTGTCAACAATGGCGGCTGGAGTTCATCTGAAGTTCAGTAAGGCTTTAGAGCTCTAAACAAGGAGCTCTAAATCCATCACTAATGGTGAAAATTGAACGAAAATGGAAAAAATTGAACGAAAAAAAAAAAAAAAAAAAAACAAGGCACAGCATGTACTAATGGTGGCTCTAATTAGAGTTCTCAAACATTTTTGTCTGAAGTTGCAGCTCGTTTTTGACCTTGCAGTAACGGGAATGGGAAGTTTTGTAAAAGATAAAAGTTTTAGATCTCTGATTTATCTATCTACAGATCCAAACCTCATATGAATATGAATTTTAAATTAAAAGTTGTGGCCAAAATAATGAAGCTCTCCAGAATAGATTTTTCATCCTCAATCTTCATTCCATCACCTTTTTACCTTATTCCCGAACCCATCATTTTCAAGTAGTTGCTTTCATTCGTCTCTTTCATTTTCTTTCTAAAAATTGCAAATCAGTCCAAACTTTCATTTATTTACAAGTTATTCTACAAAAAAGTAAAATTACTCTATCAAACTCATAATTATAAATAAAATAAGGGAATTAATATTATAAAAGTGTATTAATATCTAAAAATAATAGAATAATTATACACTTTTTAGCACTTATCAATTCACTTAAACTTAAATAGCAGCAAATCAAATAAATACAACTTTTCAAAATAAAAAGGACTAATTGGTTAAAAAAAAAACTCTTAGAACTAAATGGATTAACATTCCATTATATATGATTCATGGGTAAATTTTCCTAAATTGCTCACATGATTTGAAAGTTTACTCAAGCTCAATTTAAATTATAGAATGATTTATCTTAATATGAGATGTGACTTGAACCTGATCTTTACCCAAACTTGTTTGTTTAAGGCCTCGTTTAACAACATGTTATTTTAGTAATTTTTTAATTTATTAACTAAAATATGAGATTAAAAAATTTAGTACGTTGTAATGACTTTTTATAAAAAATTATGCAAAAAGTAGAGAGAAAAAAGAATCTGACTTTTTTTTGATTTTTTCAATAACATCTTAACTTTTAAGCTATAAAATATAGAGTAAACTACCAATAGGTCATAATAATTGAAGTTAATTCATATCAAGTCTTATTGAAAATAAGTCTTAGTAAAATCATCACTAAAAATAATTTTTGTGACCATCTTTTGCATATGTCGTTAAAAATTGACAATTAATGACTTTTTTTGCCATGATTTTTATAAATTGTCGTTAAAACTTACAATTAATGATATTTTTTTTGTGATGAATTTTTCAAACTGTTGCTAAAAATTGAAAATTAGCTATTTTTTTGTGATAATTTTTTTAAACTGTCGCTAAAACTTATAATTAGTGACATTTTTTGTGACAAAATTTTCAAACAAGTGCTGAAAATTAACAATTAGTGACATTTTTTAATAGTGTTTAATAAAAAATATCATTAATTATCATAAAGCCTATTAGATAATAAGTCTATTTATTAAGACTTACACGTAAGTCTCCCTAAAATATATACTTCCCAAACAAGATTTAAGTCTGAGCTTAAGTTTATCTCAGTGAATTCCAACTAAGCTCGAGTTACCTATATTGAAACACAAAATTATGTTTGATTGTTCCATTGGATTGGACTGTCTGGTTGGTTTTTGGATCACATTTCGATAATCTAAATTGTTTACATTTTAGAATTTGTTAAATATATCATCCTTGCAAAAAATCAGGTCGATCAAATAATGGAAATGGTGCGTTCGGATAAATTTTATATGAATCGTTTATTTTCTCGCCGTTAATTTTTTTCATACAAAACTAATCTGAATATGTGATTGTCATTAATTATCTGGTCGACTTGATTTTTTGCAAGGATGATGTACTCACCGAACCCTAAAATGTGAATGTTTAGATTATCAAAACGGTATCTAAAAGTGGGTCCTTTGGGCTCAATAATACCTCTCTAGTCTGATTCAGAACTGAAGAAAAACAAGTCCAAAAAAAAAAAAAAAACCACTCATCATTCTTCATTTTCTCTAATTTCAATTCCAATTTTTTCTTGATTAATTATTTATCCACCAAATTTGTTTGGCTCGGATTCGCCCGAAAGAGTTTCTTTCCAGGAAGAGTCTCTCGTGCGCAAGTCTCTTCCTGATAAGAGACTTATTCGAACGAATTTGAGCTAAACAAATTTGGTAGATGTAGCGATGTTTTTTCTTCTCTATTGACCACTCTACCTCCATTAATAGCTCTGAATTCCATGAGTTCAAATTAAAGAATTTAGGTTACTCAGATGGTAATTTACGTGTAGGTCTTAATAGATGAACTTATTGTTCAATAGGTATTATGATAATTAATGGCGTCTTTCATCAAATACTATTAAAAAACGTCACTAATTGTTAATTTTCAGTGACAGTTTGAAAATTTTGTCATAAAAAATATCACTAATTATAAATTTTAGCGACAGTTTAAAAAAATCGTCATAAAAAGATCACTAATTTTTAACTTTTAGTGATAGTTTGAAAAATTTGTCACAAAAGAAGCCACTAATTGTAAGTTCTAGCCACATTTTATAAAAATCATTACATAAAAAGTCACTATTTGTCAATTTTTAGGGACATATGTAAAAAAATCATCACAAAAATTTATGTTTAGTGATAATTTTATTAGAAATTATTTTCAATAGAACTTGATAAAATGAAGTCCAATTATTAAGGTCTATTGATAGTTTACCCAAGAATCTTGTGCACATCATTGTAAATTTAATTCAAGCCCTCAATGAATTAGACTTAGATTGTTCGGGTTATACTGTCCTTAGGCTATGTCTGGGATGCTACTTTCAGGCTATTTTAGTCATAAAAAGATAAAATAAGTCAAAAAGTCAATGACAAAATGTTACATCCAAATCTTAATCATTTTATTTTTTCTTTCATAAAAGTCAAAAAGGCCAAAAAGACTGTAACACTTGGGTGTTTTAATATATTGGAAGGTGTGTTTAATATCTTTATTTTTGTTTTGGGAGTCTTTGGAGTTGTTGTCTTTTGGTTTTGAAGGAGTGCAATCCGATTTAAACTCGTTGGGTTTGTTCGTTCGCGTTGTTCTTGTCAAAAGTTCCTTGGAAACTTAGAAATTTTGCCTTGGGGTCGACACTAGCCTTCCTAAGGGTCGACCCTTGGATGTTGTAATGTTTCTGGAAGTGTTGTTGGAAAATAGGATAGACACCAGCCTCCTTAAGGGTCGACCCTTACCTATTGGTGAAGTTCTTGGAGGTGTTGTTGGAAAATAAGGTAGACACCAGTCTAGGGAGGGTCGACCCTCTTATGTTGTAGAATTTGTGTGTTAGTTGCTGGAAAATAGGGTCGACCCTCTCCTGTCTAAGGGTCGACCCCCTTGCTTGTTACTAGATTGTCTTTCTACCTAAAGGGTCGACCACCTTGCCCGAAGGGTCGACCCCTATGTGTTTTTTTCAGAATTTTGGGCTTCGAATGTGTCCTATTTTTGGGGGTTTTTGGATTTATCTTTTTCATTGACCTTAGGGCTATCATCTAGTACTATAAATAGATCCAAACCCCATCTCTCTCATAATTTTTTTCCCTCTTTTTCCTCTCAAAACCGAGAGTCTCTCTCTCTTTCTCTCAAAAACTCACTTTTTCCACTTCAATCCTTAGATCTACACTCTTAGAGGTGTCTTCTCACCTTGATCCTTTGAGATAACTTGAAGATCTTGTCAAGGGCTCTCTATTGGTCCGAGAAGTTCGTGGCTTCGTCAACCTTGAGTTTTTCGGGTTTTCTTCCTCACGACTTGAGGTAGGGACACTTTTACTTTAGTATTTCTTTGTTTTGAAGGGATTTCATGGTATGGTTGTGATTTGTGAATTAATTGGAGAGCATTGTTGGATCAATCTCATGTTTTACACAAATAAACCATTTTACTTGACTCTTGCTTGAGATTTCTTTACTCTCTCTTTCAAAACATGTATATAAATGTTATTACAAGCCATATCTATAATAGAGGAGAAAAACCCCCAAATTTGGTAAAAACCCTAGATTCCCCACTTGAGTTAAAAACACCACATTGAATAGGGAATTTCCTTAATTCATGAAATATTGTGAAATAACATAGATGAAGGATGTGGATGTTGATATAGTAGAATTGTGGCTTGAATGTTATTTGTTTTCTTTAAATCTTGTATTGTATCTACTCTTGGGTAATGTTGGATAGTTGTTGATGGAATAAAATATGAATGAATTGTTAATTGTGCATGAGTCCGGGTAAGAGTCGGTTTTCCAAGTGTGGTGTTGTGTTGGTACCCGTGCCGAGGGGGGGGGTTTAAAAAAGTGTCCAAATGCCCTGTCTAGGCTTATTGCTGGACGAATGTGGGAAAAATATTTTTGGGTGTTCACATAGTTCTGTTGTATGATATCTGGCAAAAGTGGAAAAACGGATGATTTTCTTTGGGGTGCCCATTCCCTGCCGTATAATAGTCGGTAAATGTGGGGGTTGGTTTTAAAAACAAAAGTAAAGGGTGTTTTAAATTGAACTCTTATAGGTGGACTCATGGTTTGCGTTCTATGGTTGTGAATGTTTGATTGTTGTGCTTGATGACATGAATAGCCACTGTTATTATTTGGTTGTCGTGGATCTGTATGTTTGTTAAGGATTACATGTAAAGATAAATTTCCATGTAATGTTTGGTGGAAAGATACTATAATGTTATTCAAAGGATCAATACTTGGGTAAATGCGTTCTTACTGGGCATATAGCTCAACCCTATCTTATTTTTTTTTTTCCAGGAAATGATCGAGTTCCACCTCCCTAAAGGAGTGGTCAAGCAATAGTTCTTTTTTTGGAAAAGTTTATCCATATGTATTTTGTTATTTTGAATTGAAATTTTTGTAACAAGACTATTAGTTTATTTTGTTGTAATTGTATGCCCTAGAGGCTTATATTTTGTTAGGTCACCTAGTTCATTGAACTGTAACACAAATTCAGAACATTATGGGAATGTATATGGTGAATTTTAACCTCTTATCTCTTAGTTCAATGAGAAGATGGACTTTTTGGGTATATTGTTGTATTTGTTTGGGCATATTCTTGTGGAAAATTTCAGGGTGTTACAAAGGCCATCCCAAATAAGGCTTTTTAGCCTCAAGTTAAAATAGCTAAAAAGTCAAAAAGCCAAGAAGCCTACTCACATCCCAAACGAAATCTTATACACGATTTCCTAGTTCATAGCATTAGAATTCTGTGCAATAATTTTTATTAATTTTAATTAATAATTAAAAAGTGATTTAAACCCCTATACAAAATCAACTAGATGCTTTTAGAGCATTTTTGAAGTTTAAAGGAGAAATATCAAATCCGTGAGGATTTGAAATAATAATTATAAATTAATAAAAATTTTTAGGAATTTTTTTTAAGATATTAAGATTTTATAAGATAAATGACATACAATATTTTTATAGTAGTTAAGGTCTCTCAACATTTCTACAGAAAAAATTCGACTCAGAGAAATTTTTTCTGACTCAGAGAAATTTCGCCCCTGCTCAGAATTTTTTTAATTTTCACAGAGAAATTTATTTGATTTCACAGAGAAATTTCAAAATTTCTCTAAGTCGGGATCGAAATTTCTCTGAATCGGGTGAAATTTCTCTGAGTCGAATTTTCTCTGTGAAAATGTTGAGGGACCTTAGCTAATAAAAAACAAACATCTTGAACCTTTCCTACTACACAAAGTTGAAGAGAGATGTTTCACTATTTTTTTCATATTTTTATAAATATTAATAATTAAAATTGTAAAATTTTCCACGAATATTCAATTTTTTTTTTTACTTATATACACTGGGAAGCAATTACCCAAGTTTAAACCACCCTTAAACCATCATTACAAAATTAGTACACCAAAATTATTACAGACAATTCTATATTGTTCGTACATACATATATATATATATATATATATCATATAGCAAAAATTTGCAACATGCACTCCTAAAAAAGGTACACATAGTAAAAAAGTTAGAATTTTTTATGATACTTTGTGGTAAAATTATGAACAATGAGTTTATGGCGTGTACCCTAAAGTTAAGAATGACAAAAATAATGACACCTTTTTGTCAGGAAAATTCTATAATATACACCAAAAAAAAGGGGTGTACCATATGTCCCACAACTACGACTTTTGTGATTCTTGATTATGACTAATCATGATGTTTGTTATAACTTGATTATGATTTATTATAATGTTAGTTATGACTTACTTATGATTTATTGTGACTGTTATTTTAATTATGAGATCGAAGAAGTTTTTGTTATGCCTCAAGTAGTGCTTAGTTATGACCTATTTTGACTATGACCCATTGTTTTTCATTTAGTGATGATAGAAAAGTGATTTAACTGGGACATTTGTGGTATTAATACCATAAATTATCATAACTCGCATATGTGGTGTGTATTATAAAAGGACCTTTTTGTTATGATATGTTGCGGTAAGAAAATTTATGACTTCGTGGCGAGAAAACCTAAAATACCCCTCACTTGTTTTCTACTACTATTTTAGAAGTGTTTTCTACTACTATTTTAAAAGTGTGGACATCCTTACTTGTTTTCTACTTTTTCATATTCCCAAAATACCTTTCTTAATGTGTTGTCCCGGAAAGGACATATAGTAACAATCACAGGCACCATGAAGTAACAGGCACTAAGACTTCTGAATTTTTGTGAATAGTCACTTTACGGTTTTCAGAGAATTTCATATAATAATAATAATAATAATAATAATAATAATAATAATCATATTTGAAATTCTTAAAAAAAAATCTAATTTAATTCACAATATATGTTAATTGTTAATTTGTTACACACTTAATTATAGTAGTAGATATAATATCCAATTGTCTTATCACATTATTATAATTGAATTTATAAATACAAAATTATTGATCTCCAGCATTTTTCATATAATGATACATTACCTTATAGTTCAGTTTATCAAACATTCAAATCTAAATTTAAATATAAACTTGATGGAATAATTTATATTTTAATATTTTAATTTTTTAATTTTCTCCTCTTTTTTATTTTTCTCACTTACTTTATTTACACGGTGCCACCGGCATACACTCGTATATATATAGGTGCTTAAGTTCAGTATACACCTAACAACCAACCAAAGTAACAAGGTGATGGTGTCCTCTCTCACAAAATCTCTCATCATTCTATGTCTCCATCTTCATTTCCACATCTTCTTCGTGTTCTTCATTGTCCACTCTGCCTCCAAGAACACCACTGAACAAAACAATCAAGAAGCTACAACACTACTCAAATGGAAAACCATCCTCCATAGCACTCACCCCATTTCACCTCTCCTCTCCTGGAAACCATCTAATTCCAATTCTTCATCATCATCTTCTTCACCGTGTCAATGGGATGGAATCACCTGCAACAACCATGGAAGTGTCATAGACATAAACCTCAAGAGCTCTAGCCTAACAGGTAATCTCCAAAGCCTTGACTTCTCATCATTTCCACACCTTCTTGGACTTAATCTCCAAAACAACTCACTCTATGGAACCATTCCATCCTCCATAGCCAACCTTTCCAAGCTCACTTACCTTTCTCTGGGTCGAAACCAACTCCACGGTCCAGTCCCCGATTCGATCGGACTCATCCGTAACTTGAATGTTCTTCGTCTCTTTGGAAACTATCTCTCTGGAACAATCCCACCCTCCATTGGCAACTCGACAAAGCTCACTTACTTGAGATTGCATTACAATGAGCTATCTGGCTCTGTACCTTCAGAGATTGGAAAGCTAAGTAATCTTTATCTTCTGACTATGTTTGAAAACAAACTCAGTGGGTCTCTTCCTTTATCAATGAACAATCTTACCCAATTGAAGAGACTTTTTGTGGGTGAAAACAATTTTAGTGGCTATCTACCTCAAGAGATTTGCCATGGTGGGTCATTTGAAAAGTTGACTGCTGCTAACAACCATTTTGTGGGTTCAATCCCAAAATCCTTGAAAAATTGTTCCAAATTGATGAGACTTAGGCTTGAAAAGAACCAATTAGCGGGTAACATATCAGAGGATTTTGGGGTGTACCCAAATTTGGAGTACATTGATTTGAGCTATAATGAGTTCTATGGGGAGCTTTCTTGGAATTGGAGGTAGAGGTTGGCATGAGTTGGCAAGCCATGAGGCTTGAGTTGGCAGCCATGAGGCTTGCCATGCGCCAGCAACAAAGAAGAATATTGGGCTGGCAGCCAACACACCCATGAGACCTCCTCCACCTTCTGTTTTGGTGTATAAAATGGAATGGTGATGGTGAGTTGAAGACACGACAAACATAGAGAGAAACACACTGCTGAGAGAGAGGCACAAAACAGAGAGAGCTAGTGAGAGCTATATTCTGTTTGTGTATCAGAGAGTGTGAGAGAGTGTGTTATATAGAGAGACAGTGAGTTGAGAGTGTGTAATCTCCTCCATTTGTTGATATATAACAACATCGCTCCCGTGGACGTAGGCCGGTTTGCCGAACCACGTTAAAAGTCTTGTGTTTTTGCTTGTGAGTGTCCCCTGGTGTGCCCAAGATCCACAACAATTGGTATCAGAGCCCGGGTGGAGAAAAATCGAGTTTTTTCCGAAAGTGTCCAGATTTCGAAGTGGTCGAAATCCACTTTTGAGCATACCAGGAGGAAGATCAGGAGGAGAGGAGTCCAGAACAGCAAAAACAGAGCCCAGAAGCCCTCCCATGCGCTCTCACGCGCTCTCTGAAAAACGCGCGTGAGTCCCAGTCTCTGCACGCGCTACCACGCGCCGTGAGGACAGCCGGCGCGTCGGCCCAGTCTCACGCACGCGCTCCACGCGCGGCTGAAGAAAGAAGACGAGTGGGGAAGGCGCGTGTACGACACGCGCAGGCCGCGTCAGCGTGCCACGTCGGTAACACGTGGCGACACGTCAGCAAAGGGTGCCACGTGTCCTGCCCAGTCAGCCTGAGCCGCTGACCAAGCCGAGTTGACCAGCCGTCAGCCCGCGTTGACTGCGCCGCAGATCCTCCGTTGACCGCGCCGCCTGCGCCGTTGACCGAGCCGTTGACTGGAGAAAGTATCCGGTGCATCTCAGCGCACCAGATTCAGCAGATCTGAACCGTTGAAACTGTTTTGGCTAGATCTAGGCCATTCGGAGTCCGTTTTTGGCGATCCAATAGTGAATTCCAACTATTTGGAGTATTCCGGACACATCCGTACGGTTAGTTTTTGAATCGGAGGCATTCAAATTCTTTTGGCTAGATCTAGGCCATTCGGAGTCCGTTTTTGGCGATCCAATAGTGCGTTCCAACTATTTGGAATATTCCGGACCCATCCGTACGGTCAGATTCTTAAATCGGAATTTCTTTAAAAAGGGAAGAAATTTACAATGGCAGGAAAAGGTTCAAGTTTCATGATTGAGCCTTTTAATGGCAGTAATGACTTTACCCTGTGGCAGCAAAGGGTGAAAAATATTTTAACACGAGAAGGTCTGGTGAAAGCTCTTCTCACAAAGTCCAACAAACCGGAAGACATGAAGGATGACAAGTGGGAGGAGTTGAGGGAATTGGCAAACAGTACAATTCAGTTGTATCTCGGGAACAATACACTCTGGGAAGTCATCAGTGAAGTAGATCCGGCAGAGCTATGGGCAAAGTTAGAGATGAGGTACAAGTCAAAGTCTTTGACAAACCGGTTATCTCTGAAGAGGCAGCTATATACACTTAGAATGCCAGAAGGTGCGAACCTCACAGAACATCTGGACGAGTTCAATAGGATCACAATGGAATTGGACACCATTGGAGACAAGACCCAGGAGGAAGATAGGGCTATGATCTTGCTGGTCTCTCTACCTGCATCATATGAGCATCTCAGGACAACTCTATTGTACGGGAAGGATGCTCTTGGACTGGATGAGGTGATTGCTACGCTCATTTCTCATGAGTCGATGAAGAAACAGGAAGGTAGCAGTAGCAAACACCCAGAAGAAAATGCCATGGTTGCCTCAGAAAATGAGCAAGGCAGAGGTAGGTCCAATAATAGACGGGGTAGACCCAAATCAAGAGGACGTTCGCAATTAAGGTCAGGCTTCAAGAGAAAGTGTTATTACTGTGATCAGGAGGATCACCTCATAAAAGACTGTGCAAAGCTCAAGGAGGACAAGGCACAAAAGGAACAGGCGAGCTCATCAAATGTCGCTGCTGCAGTAAATGCTAAGGATGAGTATGCATTTACAGTTTCATCGAGTATGACGAAACCTGACTGGATCTTAGATTCCGGAAGCACATATCATATATGCATGGATAAGAAACTTTTTTCTACCTACCAAGCCAAGGATGGAGGTATTGTTCGAGTGGCTAACAACACTGTGAGTAAGATTGTTGGCATGGGAACAGTACGGCTGAGAATGGAAGATGGAAAAATTTTCACGTTGGATGGAGTCCGACACGTGCCAAGACTGAAGAAGAATCTAATTTCCTTAAGTATGCTAGACATGAAAGGTTATAGCTTCACATCTAGCAAAGGAAATCTCAAAGTCATCCATGGAGATACGGTGATGCTACATGGACGACTGGAGGGGAATCTGTACAGGCTTGTGGAGAAGGTTGTGACAGACGGAGCTACTGTCACTTACCGGGCAAGACGTACAAGACATGCACAGAAGAGACATAGGGCCCAGCAGACATGGCAACCAAAGTGTACAAGAACGCAAATGGCCTAGATCTGACCGTACGGATGGGTCCGGAATATTTCAAATAGTTGGAACGCACTATTGGATCGCCAAAAAACGGACTCCGAATGGCCTAGATCTAGCCAAAACAGTTTCAACGGTTCAGATTTGCTGAATCTGGTGCGCCTGAGAAGCACCAGATAATTCCTCCGGAT